TTAACAATATTTTACAAAATAATAGCAATAATTGAAAAAGAAAGTCCATATAAATTAAAGTAAGTATTATTAAACATATCCAGAAAGTGAATCCATAGGACCTCCTATTAAGCAAAAAAGTCACAGAAGTCTTTAGCAAATTCTTAGCTCAAGAAAAATACTTGAGGCTATGAGAAGTTATATAAACAATATTTGCTTTATTACTTATAGCATATGGATTAATAGATATAATTACTTACAACTTTGAAAAAAAGAGACTGGAAGAAATGTTTCTGTAGGATCCACCTACACCCTCTTTGTAATTGCTATAAAAACAATGGAAGCTATTATTCGAGACCTAATAACAATATACAATATCCTTAACCATATACATTAATGGAGTCTAGATACGTTAATACTTTCCTCAAAAGACAACAAACTATATTGGATATAGTATCAACTGATATTATTATATCAATTGATTTTTTTGTTTGCTATATATAGAAATAGTCTGCAAAATTGTTCTATAAATAAGAGTATATGTAATGCATATAATCAATAAAATGGTCAAAATTGTGTGTAAAAAAAAAAATAATATAAAATAAAAAATAAATAATATGAATTTCAAAGATTTAATAATCAAAAGCTAAAAATTAAATACTTTTCTTGGGATATTTTAATTTAGTGTTTACTTAAATAAATAACTAGTTGAATTAACTTATTTAATATTATAAATAATAATAAAAAATTTTTTTTTCTAAAATTCAAGTAAAATAAAAAAATTATTTCACTTGGATGTCACCTTAAAAAAGAATTCTGTTTTTAGACTTTTTAATAAGTCCTTGAATTGTTTTTTTCTTTATATTTTTATAATTCTTTTTTCTTAAACTTAATAATTTATTAATTTTTGAATAAATTAATTTTTTTTTTTTTAGATGCTAGCTTATTTATATATCATGGCAATATTTTATTATAATAAAGATTATATCTAAGAATAACTGGGATGAATAATTACCCATACTGTCTAAGAATTTATATTAACAAATAGTATATAGAGCTAATGATAGGTTCCTAAAGTATTTAACATATAAATTTCACAGATTACTTATGTCCCTTTTTGAGAGACAAAATTCATAGCTCTTCACTTTAATAGGGACAAAAGTTAGAAAATGCTATAAATCAATGATTTAGATAATGGAGAACAATTGTGGATAATTTTTTTATAGTTATTAATTTAAAATTTTTAATTTTTTCTAGTGAAAGACATTTAACTTTTGTCCTTGTCTTTCTCTTTAGGGATCCATCTTTATATAGAGCTAACTATTTACATCTTATCTCATCAGAATAGAGTAACTATATGACTATCTAATCTAGATACAGTATTTCTTTTTATTACAACAAACTAACTAGATAATGTTATAGATTACATGGATAATGCGATTTATGCATAATGGTTTAGAATTTAAAAACCTGAAAGTTTGGCATGAAATATTGAATGTTATAAGGTAAGAAACTATAGATAAGGCTTGGATACTAATAAGAGAACTATGTATATCTGAAAAAGTATGGAAAGTTTAGCAAAGCTTAGGATTAGTATAGTTAATTATAAAGTAGATAGTTCATTATTAGTTAGAAAAGTATAAATAGCTTATCAATGTATGCTGAAAAGGCAGAGCTAAATATGTTAGGTAAAACAGTCCTTATTGAGAATAGAGATAAGAGTTGATGATATATCAAAGAAACAGAATGCAATAAAGAGATACTTAACTTCAACCAAGTCAATCATCACACCTCTGCCTTTCCTAAGTGTTCTTTATAGGAGGTGTTCTCTTTTTTGTGTTATTTGTAAGTATTTGTGAGAAGTCTGGATTATGTGAGGTGCTATGAATTAGCAATAGACTCACTGGAATAGCCCACAACAATACCAAAATTTAAATATTTAGATCTAAATATGTCATGATTCTCTCTAGATCCTAAACCCATTGAGCTTAAGCCTACTGAGTGGCTTATTACTATTCCCTAAGAAGGAGAACTAATGTGCCAAGGATTCATCTAAGGTATTTACACCATCGATGTTGGGATCCTTTATTTAGAGCCTTAATATTACTAATTCTAAAAGAAAATTTTTAAATGAAGGGTGGATATGTGCAGATCTTGTCCAATGAACCTTAGTAATAGGTATTATTATTATTTGTTTATAATAAAGAGAGAAGTATATCAAAACTTTCCAAAAAGATAATAGACAAGTTGTTGATTTCCATTTGCCAAATAGAAGATGAGAAAGTTTATTGTTTATTCAATGTGTTCTATTGCAGCTTGTTTTTTTCTGATAACTATTGATATAGGAGATTTCATGTCTTGTATCTATCCATACTAAGCACAATGACTTATGATGGATCCCAAGTTCTTATGGGGTTGAGGAAATGAATTCAAACACATAAGGTGACCAATAAAAGTTTGTTTATTTCTTTTACTAATATGAGCTTTTTTTATTCAATCATGGTATGTGAAAATTTGTGCTACTCAAAATTTAGGATCAAACTAAAGTAGACAAAATTCCTCAGAAAAAATCAAGAACAAGCATTATTAGATAATGACAAATAATAAAATAGTGGGAAAGTTATCTCTCATTATTAATACACTTTTATAGTATTTTTTTACAGTGTAATATGATGGCATATTAGTTTTTTCCTTTTAAAACTTTCTTGCTATTGGTAGAAAAGGTGTTTCTTGATCTTTATGATTAGCAAAGGTCAAGTTTTTGTTTGAAGAGGATAGTGGGCAAGAAAATGGGAATTAGTTAATGGCTCTTGAAGTCTCTTCAAGTTGGTTTAAGAAAAGTAATAAGACTTTATTAGCTTAGAAATATAAAAACTTCTTGCAAATATCTTTTTTGTATATGGTTAGAGGATTAGTAAAAAGAGTTGATGTTTTGAATAAATTAATAATAATTGATTAATAATAATAATTTTAATAGATAGAAATTAATTAATTATATCAGGAAATACAATATTGTTTCTAAAATTTGATTTAAAATATTTATATATAATAATAAGTTAATTACTTTGAAAAAGTTCATAAGAAAAATAAGTAATTCAAATATTATACTTTATATATAACTATAATTAAATATTATATTATCTGAATTATTAATTAAAAATCTATATAAATCTTAATGACTACTATATAAACTGATTATTAAAAAAAAATTATAATTTCATTTATAATTTTTTCTTTTTTTATTTTTTTAATTTCAATTATTTTTAATATATTAAATCATATAGTAAATAGTAACAAGCCAATCAATAAGAAAGATAAATCTATTTTTAAATAATTTTATTTGTATATTAGAAAACATAAAAATTTTAAATATATAAATATATATAGTATATACAATAAATCTTTCTTATAACAAGAATTAATCAGTTCCTTTTTAAAAAATCAACAATAAATAAGTTTAGTTTGATGTATTTGTTTGATAATTGTTTTAATATCTTGTAAAATTTTTATTTCATTATAGTAAAAGTTAATAAGCTTATTGATAAGTTGTAGTCTATAGAAAGTATCAGAATTTTATAATATTGATTATTGTATGAATTATTATTATCTGACTTTTTGTTTTTTTGCTATTTATTTTAAGATGTTTCTACTAAATTTTTTAGTAAAGAAAGAAGACAATATGGAGATGTTGATGTTTCTTGAAGAGGAAGGTCTCTGTGCCTTGACTTAATGGTTAATAATGAATCAGTAATATTGTACTTTTGGCACAAGATTATTGCTAACTAATTATTTACAAATTTTTAAATTTTTAAATTAAAATTAAATAGAAAAAAAAAAATAAATAAATAAATATAAAACGTGCAAGTGTATGACAATAAAATAAAAAAAAACGGAAAAGAAATTATGTTATTTATTGTCACATTATATAATTAGATTATTTTAAATAACATTCGATTTTTTTTATACTTTAAGCTTATCTACATGCATTCTAGTCAAATATTTTATAAATGACATTACGTTCAATAAACCATTTCAAATGAGTATATTTTTATTAAATTTTATATTTATATATCAATGACATATCTAATATTAAGGAGTTGACCCATACCATACGTTTAGTATGTTTTTATAAATAAAGCTACCAGAACTTGAACCCAAATGCGCACAATACATATAATTTATTAAGTGTTATAAATAGAATGAATCAAAATTCATAAGATTAATAATGATGATGTATCAAAGGTAGTTCTTAAATTAAATGAACTTTCCGGAAATATCAAATGGTCAAACTATTTTTAAATAAAGAACATATAGAATCTTGATTATGTTGTTTAACTCCGTCGAAAATAGTCTGAAATGATATCAATAAAAATTCAAAAAGTGAATTATTGTAAGAAATTATAGTAAAACCACTTGAATCCATAATTTTTAACGCAATTAATTAAGAAATTCATTACCCTAGAATAGTACTCTATATTATATTTGAAAGGCCTTGCACCAAAATTCACCTCAATATTTGCTAATCGATTTCGCATACCAACGATCGGGTACATTTCTCCGCGAAATAACCAGCTGTTGGCGATACCTACGGGTAGAAAATATTTGTAAATGGTGGTAGGGAAAAAGTTATGAAGTAAGTAGAATAAACTAAAAGAACCTAAATTAATCCCGTTCTTTGTAAAGAAAACATTTCCATCATAATAATTCAAACAACATCCAATGGTGTCTCCTGTAGAATACAAAGGCCCATATGGATTTCCCATGTAACCTGTCTCACAAAAGATTAATCCATCGTCACCATGGTATCCAATTGATAACGGTTCCCAGCCTGCAAACAAAATGAACAACAGAGCATTTAATGCTTACTTTGCAATTACACGCTTGAATGTAATCACAATAATACGATGAAAAACCTGGTTGTCTGTTTATATTAACATCTCCTCCTCCGAACCCAATCCCTATTAAACTGTAATAAGTATCATAAATATTAAAGGTATCGTCTTCATAAAATTTCTTTGAACTTACTTCTCTAGTCCGCTATTTATAATATCAACTTCGAAATAATAAATACCAGCCATTGCCGGAATGGGATGGTCCGATCTAATCGCTGAAGCTATCCCACGTCCTAAAGTTTAGAAAATTCATTAGTTTAATAGAATTCACCATATTATTATCCGATCATAAATCAATAAATACCAATGTATCCAATTCCCAAATTATTTTCTGTCACGTATAAATTATATCCATGGTCTACGGGATTCCATTTTGTTGGCAATAGTATAGGCTCTTTTGCCGTTCTATTATAAATGTCTAAGGGACTGTTTCGCAGATACTTCGGAATAAAGGGTTTTTCAAGTATTGACGATTTTTCGTCAGTAACATAGTCGCATGAGCTCATAATCGTTAAGGTCGTCCTATTTAATGGACACTACGGTCAACTCTCATTGAAAATAGTTACGATCACCCTTTGCGTATGAAATCTATATACTATGAAATTTTTATTATATTAAGTTAGACTTTTATTATTATTATTATTTTTTTTTTTTGTGGAACGGAAGCTCAGCCTTGTTTATTAACTTGATAAAGTAATTTACAAATTTAATTACAGGGAATCCATATTTTCTATAATTTATGTTGACAAACATTCCTAGAACCCTACTTTTAAAGGATTCACCAGACAGTTTGTTACCTGGAAATATCCAGTCAGATTAAATTTCCACTACTACCTATCTAGAAAACCTAGACACCCCTATTTTTGAATCTTCAATCCTTCCAGATTCTTTCCAACTAACTTGTCAAGTTTGACTTGCTAGTTTCATGAAAGGAGAAGTATACCTTTCAAATGGTTCTGATGAACATGGCACTGTTACCGGGTTTGGTATTTTTTTTGGATTTGTTTGTGTTTAGTTATATTGATTGTGCCTTTTATAGGAAGAAAAACTTGCTTAGAACTAGAAGTGGGAGATAATCAGTATTTTCTTAGACTTGATTGTGTTTTATGTCATAGATAGTTTTTTCCATTTCATAAATCTTTCATATGGCCCTCATATAGTATTGAACTATAGATCTTGTGATTGTAACCTGGGAGCACACCACTATGCTATAGACCCACAGGTCATTAGACTTTTATTATTAATATTTAAGCTTTACATTTATATAAATTTTTTTTTAATTTTTGAGTTTACTTTTTTTTTTAATACCCATGGTCAGGTCAGTACTGTGTATTTATTAATCATTAAGAAAACCACTTGAGATACATAGGGCAATTGCATCATAGTTAAACTAAAATCTCATATTGACACACTCGTTAATGGCTTTCAATTCTCAAAAGAGCTTCAGCCTCTAAATGCAACCTTGGAGACAATATTTTGCTTCGAACTAAGTTTTGGGTAAAAATCCTTCTAACTTACTCATTATTGTTAGCAGGTTGTCACTGCTTATTATCCTTCAAGGAACTGAATTCGAGAAACTACAAAAGGGAAAAGGGAAAATAAAAAGAAAGGGGACTATCTAAAAATGTGCAAATGTACTACATAAAAAGAAAAAAAGAAAAAAGAAATTTAAAATTGCTCCATGTCCTCCAAAGGATCTTGGCTAAAAACCTCTTCTCATTAGGAATCAACCCTTCTAAAATATCCTTCTTCTTCCTGACCATCTAAGGAACTTATTCATCTGTGCTTTTGATTATTTTCTTGTGACCGTCTGAGATACTTATCACCTACTCGGATCCAGTGTCTTGCTCAACACTTCTTTTCTTTCAGTCTTGATTTTTTATCCACATGTGCAACACAGAATGGCTAATGCTGGACCCAGGTTCTTATGTAGCTTTTCAGTCTTGTTGTATAACTCCCGATATCTTCTAGCAACCACGCCTAGTTAAAAGAATTTTATTGGTATATATCTTTCATTACCCAAAAAGCCAGATTTCTCAACAATCTTTTTGCCTTGTAATGATGGGAGGGTCTGTAAAGTATGGGGATTCTCGTTAATTACGATATTATTATATAATTTCTGGGGAAATGCATTTTCAATCCTAGAGAAGAGCAGTGTTTTACATTTCTCTACTTTTCAGTCTTATAACCTGACCGGGATAAGGAAATAACCTCCTTCACATATTTGCATAACCAGAATGATAAGAAGTTGATGGCCTCAGCTTGAACAAATAACTATCTTTTCACCACCTAGGGAATCCTAATGGTCTCATGATTTCTTTGCTTCAGTTAAACTTCATTTGAAGGAGTAGAGAAGTTCGTAACCTTGATTTTTCTTTCTATTACCGATGACATCATCAGAACACGTGAGGTGACTAGTAGGTACTTGTTTACATTCAGCTACTAACATGTTTCGTGTCCACCAATCATATTTTGCAATAGGTTATGTCACCTAAAATTCAGGGTCAAACTGAGGTAGGCAAAATTCCCCAGAAAACTAAAAAAAATTTTGGATGACTATAAAAGGAAAGAAACAATAGGCAGACACCTTGAAATATGACTTGATGTTTGCCACCTTCCACTGCAGAAAATCTCTATAGACATGCTTTAATATAAAAGGTTTCAAGTACTATACTATTAGTTCTTCTTCCTTTCAGAACTTTTTTGTCATAGGTAGAGAAGGTGTTTCTTGACTTTTCTAGGTCATAGGAAGCCAAGTTTTTGTTTGAAAACAAATATAAACAAGAGGAAAGATTTGGGAGTTTCTCTTAAAGTAAAACTTTAAGTTGATTTAAGGATAGTGTTAAGACTTTTTTAATAAAGAAATAAAAAATTTCTTGTGAATATCTTTTTTGTGTGTGGGCAGAGGATCAGTGGAAAAAGTTCTCACATCTAATACCAGGAAATTTTGGAATTTACTTATAATATATAACATATTATTAAAACTAATGGTTTAATTGATAATATGCTATTAAGTAATCTTGTTTATTATTCATTTAGTAAAATATAATTGTTATTAATGAATGGTTAAATTTAGAAATTATTATCATTAATTTATAATTATTTTTTTTTGTAGATATTAATAAAAAATAAAATTCATAATTAAATAATATATTTCTATTCAAATTTAGCGAAAATTCGATTTTTTTTTTTTTTAACCCTCTGTCAGGCTAGTTATATGTGCTTTATTAAACAATTGTAAGCTATACATATAGTATAAATCACTAAAGCTAAAATTTTAACTAGCTCACTCATCTCAGTAATTACTCTAAGTGCAACTTTG